TTTTTTTTTTTTATATTTAATATGAGCTAATATGATATGGCAAAATTTAGTTCATTCCTTTTCATATCCTTTGAAGTGTGGGCCTAATTATTTTACATCAAGCCAAGCTATACTACATCATTCCACATCCTCGTAATGGTGATTGAGCAACTAATCATGAAACTGATCAAACAACTCTAAGTACAATCACACGTCCAATTTAAATAAAAATTGAAAACTCCTAGCCTTATATAGAAGTAGACATGGCCAAAGGCTGATCGGCTCACCGACCCGGCACGAATTCGGCCCGGTCAAACTCGGTGACTACGGGTCTGGGACCGGACTGGATTTCCGACAGGCCGTGTTAGGGTCATCCATTTCATGGGCGGGTCTGGGCCGGGCCGGTCGATGACCTGCGTTTTCTATTTTTTATATTATTTTAAATGTTGTTATTTTAAAAATTGACAGACCCGGCCCGGACAAACGGGCCATTGACCCGACACAAGTATAGGTCCGCGCCGGGTCCGGGTCATTATTTTCAAGCCAGGCGGCCCGGCTCGGGTTTTGGCCATGTCTAGATAGAAGAATTAGCTCACGCTCATGCATGGAACTCTACCATCCTCAGTCGTTCTCCGTATTGCGGGGACCCTTCCCCCACGAGCAGATGCGGGTGAGGATCGTATTATTTGGGGTTTTTCAGACAATGGAAGCTTTTCTACAAAAACGGCGTATCAATCTCTGCTTCATCACGAACGCGATCAGGATCGACCACTTTGGAGGGTGATTTGGCGAGCCCCCGCACCTCAACGAGCTCGAACCCTTCTATGGTTGGTAGCTAAAGACCGCTTACTCACAAACGTAGAGCGGCTGAGGAGGCACATCTTGGTTTCCGAGGCCTGCGACCTATGTGGGGAACCAAAGTCGGTGCTCCATGTTGTACGAGATTGTCCGACAGTGAAAGACCTCTGGAAAAGATTAGTGCCGAAAGAGTATACAAGACGATTTTTTCAGCATCCCATCAAGCAATGGATCATGTCGAATTTATTATACCAGCAGATAGGGACGGGGACTTCATGGAGTAGCGTGTTCGTCATCACAGTTTGGTGCTCGTGGAAATGGAGAAATGAACAGATTTTTAAAAACGCTAAACCGAGCAGTGAGGCGAAGAGGCTGTAAGTTTTGCGACTTGCGGATAATTATGCACGTGCGACTACAGATTATATACGTGTTGGTGCTCCCATGCACATCACGCGTTTGGTTCGGTGGATGGTTCCGGAAGTAGGGTGGGTAAAACTTAACACAGATGGGGCCCACAATAGTGTAACAGGTATGAGCTATGCGGGAGGGCTTGTCCGAGATGCTTCGGGCTCTTGGACCGGGGGATTCCTACAAAATATCGGATTTTGTCCAATTACGGGGGCGGAACTGTGGGGCCTCTTTCAGGGTCTCCAGTTAGTGTGGGAGCATGGTCATAAGCAAGTGGTCGCCGAGGTGGATAGCCTGTGCGTACATCAAATGGTTAGTGGTAGCAAGGATGAAATCGGGCCCCATGAAGCGTTGGTTAAGGCCGTTCAGAGTTTGCTTCAACGAGATTGGTCTGTACGGGTCCAGCACATACATAGGGAGGCCAATTTTGCGGCTGATCATATGGCGAGTCTTGCAGCTTCGTACCCGCCTGGGCTTCACCGTCTCACCTCCCCCCCGTGGGATTGGGCGCTTGGCTTGATCACGATAATATGGGGGTGTCTTATCCCCGCCGAGTACTAGCTTAGGCCAGTAGCCTTCTTCTTTGTACGAAAAAAAAAAAAAACAAATTGCATACAAAATTTTAATTTATTCTCATGTGATATGCCACAAGTAACGAATCATAAGAAATAAAGAAAAAATGGAGAAATTGTAATCAAATAATTAAAAAAATTAAAGAGTAGTTTTTGGTGCCCGAGATTAACGTTAATTTACTCTCTCTCTCTCTCTCTCTCAATTTATCGAAGTTATAAGAACATATACATTTTCCTAATTAAATAAAATTTGAAAAACACTTCAAAAGGTTTTATGTGTGTCCAATGGTGGAACGGGTACCATGCCAAGACCCCATTGTGCCAGCGACAAGATGGGGTCAAGCTGACATAAAGACACGTCAGACCTATGTCTGCTGGCAACTATGGGCATCGCCATGCGTTAGATAGGTTGTATTCATGGGGGCGAGTTCTTGGATTTGCATCTAGAGTATGTGAGTGGTTGTGGGTATGCAGAACTTGGTGTGCCATATAGACCCTAGTTCTAAGATTAGTATGCAGTGTTGGAGTGATTCCATGCACCACGACATCAGGAGAGCCACGCTGGCAGCACACATCATCAGCATGCATTGCAGAACATCCCACAATGGTTTTCAGCTGAGAATGAGAAGGGAATGAGATGTCAAAAAAATTCAAATTTTATCTCTTTCTCTTTTCCTTATTAATCCTTATCCTCTTGTATCTAGATCCACATATTCTAGTCTATATGTATAAGTTATGGGGATTTGAAACCTTGTATACGTCTCATATCTAGAACACAATGCCTTGGCATTCTCAATTTGCTTCTTGTTGTGTTCTTGACATGGTACCAGAGCGGGTTTTCTAAACATGTCTCTGATTCATGGAACAACACTCTTTCCTCTTTCACAATTGGTACTTTTCTTCTTCGTTTATCATGTCAACCACTAGTGAATCAACATATGCCCCTCAATTGTCTCTTATTCAGCCCCAAAGCCAAATATTTGCAACCAAACTCACAAAGACCAAGTACTTGGTTTGGAAGCAGCAACTCATCAATGCTATTCGAGGTTATGGCCTTGAAGGTATCATCACTGGCCACAAATCTGCTCCAGACGGATTCATCTGAGTCACAAATGCTCAAGGATCCATTGTTCCCAGTCCAAATCCAGAATATGAAATATGGCTAAGGCAAGACCAGCTATTGGCCTCTTGGATCTTGTCCTATATGTCTGAAATTTTTTTGGTGCTCATGGTTAGTCTAGAGAGCTCAGAGGAGATGTGGGGGATTTTCTATCAGTCAACTTCGCTAGCCAGTCTCAAGCCAAAAATATGCAGTACAAGATGGAGCTGCAAAACCTCAAAAAGGGATCCATGAAGATGAGAGATTGCCTTGGAAAGGTGAAGTCAGGTTGTGATGTTTTAGCTTCTACTAGTGAAAGGGTATCTGAGGAAGACTAGATCTTACATTTCTTCTCTGGTCTTGGTCAAGAGTGCAATCCTTTTATCATACCTCTCACCTCAAGACTAGAGCCTTATTCCTCAAGAGATATTCATGCTTTCTTACTTAGTTATGAGGCTAGACTGGAATCGTTCTCTACTGTGGCAGCTGTGACTCCGAAGGATCAAACCTTTGTGCCAACCTCATTATTCAGTCTGGATACCAACAAGATAACAGAGGATATGATCATCAAGGTGGTAGATGGAGGTTCAATGGAAACAGTCGTGGCAGAAATGAAAGAGGTCGAGGCTCTTATAGAGAAAGGGGTGGAAGGAATGACAACGAGCCTATGTATGTATATCAAGTCTGCAGCAAGGAAGGTCATACAACAAATAGATGCTACTACCACTATGATTCTAGCTACAATGGTTTTCAACCTCAGAAAGACTTCAATGCTCGAAACCAGGCCCTCTATGCAGACTGTACTTCTAGAATCTCCAACTGACCTGCAAATGATTTCCATACCGAAGCCTCAGAGCCGGCCCAAGCCCAGGGCAGCCTGGGCTACGGCCCAGGGTCCAAATGGAAAAAGGGGCACCAGTTATGCACTATTACAGTATTACTATATATATATATATATGTATTATTGCATTGTATTGGGCCCAATCAAATGTAAATAAAGCCCAAATTCTCATTTTCAATCCACTACACACGTGTGAAGCCTTAAAGGCGTGACTCTCATTCCAAAATTAATGAAGACTCAGCGAACCAGAAAGCCTTAAAGGCGTGACTCATTCTCATTAATTTGGGGCTTTTTACTTATTTATTTTTTAAATCTTTTATTTATTTTGGGAGAATAGATCAATTAAAAATCCCTTTAGCCAAACTACTAGATTAGTTCTACCGTTTGAAAAAAACTACTAGATTAGTTGTTTCCATTGTCATTGACTCATTGGTGTTATTCTTGGAAAAAGGTACTGAAATGTGGTGTTTGTGATTTGGATTTGTACTTTCATGTTGATAAATTTTCAATTTATCTTTATTTTCATGGAAATTTAGTGTGTGATTTAATATAGAAAGCGGCATTAGCACACAATACTCTGTTTTATTCGTATCGAGTTTTGGGTTTTTTTGATCCTTTGGAGTTGGCTTAGGGAAATTGATTTGTTATATGGCTTTGGAAAGTATTAAAATAAATACTAGATATTGTTTTTGTTGCAATTTAGGTTTGTCATTTGTGTAATGTACTTATCATTTGGAAGGTGACATTATTTCTTTGCAAGGTGAAAGTGCCTTAAAACATTATCTTTTGTGCACATGATAAAATTTCTACTAGATTATACTTGTTTATAGCCTTATCGGTTGTAATATTTTATAAATTGTATTTTTTTTTAATTTATTACAAAAATAATGTTGAAATATTAGCTTTGCCAAGACATTATCTTTTTTTGTACACAATATAAATTTTCTATAACATTTTACTTGTTTTCAGCTTTGTGGAGGGATACAATATTTTATAAATTGTTTTTT